TTCGGGATCCCGGGGTGGCGGGCCCTTGCTCGTTTGTGTGGTCCCGTCCGAGCGAAAAGCGGGGTGCCGGAGTTGGCCTGGCGTTTCCTCCCCCCCTGTCCTAGGCCCGCAGGGTGTGCGGTGGAAGTCTGTGCCGTTACTAACGCGTGGGAGGCTCCCGCTATCAGTATGCGCGGGACTGGGAGCAAAAATACCTGCGTTGCCCCCGCCGTGTGTTACAGTCGACCCCCGTGCGGGTTTTCTGGACCTGAGGGTTCCGTTTGTGAGCTTAGACCGCCTGTCAGTCACGGCGGTGGAAGAACAAGCAGAAGATCCGGAGCGTGCGTGGTTTGCGGTGGGCTTTGGGACGCCGTGGCTGAATAAGCGGGAAGGAAGGGGAAACGGACGGCTCTGCAGAGGGGCTGGGAAGGTGGGGGCTGCTCATGACCGTCCCGTAGTCCCCCGGCAGTGAGGAGGGTGCTGCCGGCTGGGATGGATGGGTTGGGCGAAGTAGTTAAGCACAGGTCACCCTGCGTGTTGTTTTCCCGTGGCTGCTGCGCGGGAGAAGAAAGAAAGGGTGCGTGTTTGGGAAGATGCCACTTGGCAGCAAGCGCGATCTTGAGGCTGGCCTCCAGCAGTTTTTTCCAGTTGTTGGCGTCAAGATTTTCAGCAAAGCACAGCAGCAGTCTGAATATCGAAAGCTCAGAAGCTGAGGCCTTTCTGATACCCACTCTTGAGTAGTCTAGGGGCCTTTATGGCACTATGAATGTCTTGGTTTCAGCTGAGATAGAACTAATTTTTTTTCTTAGTAGCTAGATTGGTGCTGTGTTTTGGATTCAGTACAGGAATTGGTATGAGCAGAATGTTGATAACATACTGATGTTTTCAGTTGTTGCTAAGAAATCGAGGACTTTTTAACTTCCCGTGTCTTGCTGGTGTGCAGGTGCACAAGAAGCTGGGAGGGAGCATAGCCAGAGCAACGGACCCAAACTGGCCAATGGAATATTCCACATCCTACAACATCATACTGTGTGTATAGATGAGGATTGGCTGGGAAGCTCGCTTGCTATCTTCTGGAATTGCAGTTTGGGGATTTTTCTCTGCTCTGGGATTGCTAGCTGGGAACAGGCTGGGCATTGGTCAGCGGGTGGTGAGCAACTGCATTGTGCATAACTCGTTTGTATATTCTATTATTGTTATAATTTAAATTTTATTTCAGTTATTAAATTGTTTTTATCTCAACCTATGAGTCTCCTTACCTTTACCCCTCCAATTCTCTCTGCCATCCCCTGGGGCAGGGGGAGTCCTGTGGTGTTTGGCTGTTGATCAGATTCAAACCACGACAGTGAGCTGACTGCAGTTTCAAAGCCAGCTTCTTTAAAAACTTCTGAATCAGAAGTTATTTCAAAATACGCTTCCAGATGTGTAATGTTAGTTTTAGGAAGATCAGAATTTATCCCCCAAGGAGACTTTTGTGTCTTCTTTAATCCTGTGCTTATCTAAGCTTGCGGAAATTCAGATTTTAGGACTGTGCAGTCTCCCATGTGAGAACAAGTGACTTCATGCGGGGATGATGAGGGATAGATTGAAAACCAGTAAATGATTTACTGAATGATGGCTCCTCTTGCACTTTGTGCCTTGAATTTAGGTTTTCTGGCAAAATCTTTAGTGCGTTTAGAGATTGTGACTGAATGCCCATACTGTGACTCCACAGTTAGTTACTATGTCACATTCGGTGCATTTTTATAATATTTACCCTGGTAATAAAAAGCAGGGCAAGGGGAATTCACTGTTCTAGGTTAAGGGTGTTTCTGTCCAATCTAGGTCCCTGCCAGCTGTAGGAATGGGTACCTGTTTTCAGTTATAGACCTTCAGGCCTTTTAGGGTTGGCAGTGTTTATTTTGTCAAGTTTAAGCCAAGGTAAATGTCTGCCGTTCTGCTGTTACCGGTACAGTGAGGGTGTTACCTCGTTTTGGCAAAGTCTGATACTGTTTATTGTACAACAAAAATACCACAGAAAGTCATAAACTACCCGTTATTTTCTGCTGTACACACAGGTGATGAGTCAGACCTGGCAAGCTCAACAAGTGGTCTTGGCACTGTTATTTCTTCCAGGCAGTGAAATTTCAAAAAGGCTGGGTGACTGTACATCTGCTCTTGGGAATTTGCATTAATCCCCTTTCAGTGATTCCACGGGAACACCACAGCTAGTTTGAAGGCACAAAATGTCATTTTCTTCGTTTATAGCGCATGCCATGAAATGCTTTGTGTTTCCAACCACCATAGCAATGGCTGAGACCTTGTTTGTGTGGAAGAAAATCAGTGTGAGTCTTCTGGTATAACTGAATTATTCCAAAATACATGGATGCTGTTTTGGAGTAGATTGCATAGGGACCTGTTCCAAAGCAGTCTAGTCTGCGACAGCGTTCCTCATCAGGTTTATGCAGATAAGGTCTTGAATTTGATTTCAGAACTTGTCTGTGTGTCCTGCAGGTAGCTATTGCGTATCATGTATGCTGCAAGGTGTGCCTGTCGGAAAGCAAAATTCAGATTATTTGATACCCTGCCCGTTTTATCCTGAAGGACAGACCCGGAGCCATGTTTTGTAAAACTAACGTCTAAGGGTCCTCCAGGTACTTACCCTTGCAGCACCTGAAGCTGCTCTGGCTTGTATGGTTATAAAGCCTGCCGATTTCCTCAGCCAGTCGCGCGTAGGTACCTGTTGATAGGGTTGGGTTTACAGATCCACAAATCCTGCTCTTTCATCCAGGCTCTGCACCATTTGGCTTGAAAAGCTTCCTGGGATGTAGAGGTGTGGTTGCAGAGCAGGATTTGTCATGGTGCTGAGAGCAGTGAATGCAGACCCGCTAACAGTGATCCACGTGGGCTCTGCAGAGGTGAGTGCGCGGTAACTCGCTGGCAATAACCATACAGCAAAATCTCGCTGGTCCCTGGGCATCACTGGAGGGCTTTGCATGTTGTCTGCATGCACGTGCTTCTCCTTGCGAAAATCATACTCAGAAGACATCCTGCTAAGGAACAAGAAATTCGCTCTTGATGTGGGTCTTGGACTGTTATGTGACCTCGTTTGCATTCTGAATTTTTTTAACTTTGAACGCTCTGTGCTTGAGGAGCACAACTCAAATGCCAGTCTCTTATTTTAAACCACCATTTTTATTATGCAGTCTTTCCATTCGTATTCCCCATTTCACTGCAGTACTTGAGTATCTCCTAGGCGCTCCTGGGTTTATTGTATTTTTTGCTCAATATGAGAATGACATCCAAATTTCAGATCTTGGTTTACTCATTATTATTTAGCTTCCTGAAAGCAAATGTAGGGCAATTAAACCTTTGTGTGAAATCACAAATTTCAGATCTAGGATTCTTTCCAAAAGCGAGTAGTGTTTCTCTCATTTTCTCACTTGGCTGAACGAGAATTATTTTAAATGAACCATACAACAGATGTCCTCTTTTTTGTTGTTGTTGTCTTTTAGGTTATTAAGTGCAAGGCTGCTGTTGCCTGGGAGGCAGGTAAACCTCTCTCTCTTGAGGAGGTGGAGGTTGCTCCACCAAAAGCTCATGAAGTTCGTATCAAGGTAATTAAATCGTTAACTGTATGCATTGTATTTTGGGAGACTAAGTATTAAAGCTGAGCAGCTTGTTTACCAACAGAAGAAATGCTGAATGGATAGCATTAGTTCATTAGTATCATCTGGCTTTACAAAGGAGAAAATTCCAGTATTTAAATCTTCTGTTTATGAAAAACAATTTCTACTGGGCTAAAGATCATGATCATTTCTACTGGGCTAGTCTCAGGCATCAATTCCAGTTGTTACAGGCTAAGCTGCCACAAAACATCTGAGCTAGGAACACCTTTGATCTTGTTTGAAGAGCAGCAGCTTGTGAGCTGTTGCAGCTGTGTAATGCACTGGATTTTACTTGAGTCAGGCCGTAAATTATGGGCTCCTAAGCTGTGATTGCTCTCTTGAATTCCCCATACCAAAATTTCTGATTTGATCAGGACTTCCCAGTAGCCTGTATCAGCCAGGAAGTATACAATAAGGTGAAATTTATCTCTGTGGAAAGGATCTCTGCATGGTGCTTAAGACTTAAACTGGATTTATGCTGTACTGAGAGTCCTGTGTGGTCTCTCTGGTCATTTTACCTTTGAGAGACTAACTTATTCCAAATCTGAGGTGCCAACCTACTATGAGACAACTTGGACTACTGATTTCTAGCTTCAGGAAACCAGACATCATCTTCTGCTCGTTTCAACGTCAGAATTTAGTTGATGGAAATCAGAAAAAATGTACTATCATGACTTTACTTTTTCAAAGTAAGAAAAAGTCCCTTGCCTTGGCACTCCTGTGCCTTGCCAGGAGTGAAAGTATGTTGGCCATGTCACAAACGCTGCTGAGATTGGCAAATCTGTCTGAGCAATTGTTCTGAATTTCTGACCAAAGGAAATATTTAGATCTGTGCTACTATTCTGTTCTTCAGGGTATCTCAGATTATGCATTTCTTCACAGATAGTCGCCACTGCTGTCTGTCACACTGATGCCTATACTCTGAGTGGTGCTGATCCCGAAGGATGTTTCCCTGTGATCTTGGGTCACGAAGGAGCAGGAATTGTGGAGAGTGTTGGGGAAGGAGTAACGAAAGTAAAGCCGGGTAAGAAAATACCTTAGAAGTTTTCTGCCTTCCTTAAAAAGTGTTACTTTACTACAAGGTCAGTTGTCAAATTGGCCACTGAAATACTATATTACAGGAGTTTTAATATAATGCCTTATTCTGGGATGTATGCCTGCATAGATTTCTCGTGTCTGTGAGATACAACACTAATCTGTTCAATGTGCTCTTGGTTTAATGCTTGAAAGGGCCCAGCGTACCAATTTCTTACTTGAAACTGGATCAATGTAGTTAGAAGAGACTAGACAACTAGAGCTAGTTTCTACCTGTTGGTTCAGTTAAAGGGCTTAAAAATGTTTAATCACGTTGTTCACTGTTGATTTGGGGTTGTTTGTTTTACAGTAACATTCCTGTTTGTTCTGGAATGATGAACTTCTGATCAGCCGTCTGCTCAGGCCTGAGAAGAGTGTTTTATCTATCACTCTCCATAAACAGTGCTATTCTATACCGTAAACGGTTTTTAATACACAAAGAAGGTTTTAAGTGAACACAAGCTCACATAAAAGCCATGAAAGTTGAGTAACTTCAGTTTTTTCCTAATGCCTTGCTGGACTTGATAACTAGCCACAGAATATTTTTTTATTTTTCCTTAGGGGACACTGTTATCCCTCTATACATCCCCCAGTGTGGAGAATGCAAGTTCTGTAAGAATCCTAAAACAAATCTGTGCCAGAAGATAAGGTCTGTATGCTTTTTATTTTGACACACGTTATAGTATTTGTCCAATGTATAGCTGTTCTAGTCATCAAAAGTAATTGACAGGTCTTGTCATTGTTTAATGACTTGGAAAGTATGTGTTTTAGGGAGTCAGTTATGCACTACTTTCCATTCTTCCTTAAAGTTTCTTTTCTTCTTTTGCCCTTAAATAAATCTGTTTCTCTATTTTCATGTATGTGAAGGTGTAAACTGTTTTGAAAATATAAATGCTCTGACTCTGTATTTAATCTGTACTTAAAGGAAGCACTTCAGGGAATTTACCTCTTGGGAGTCAGCACCAAAGCTGTCAAGTGGTAAAGCATTACACAGGAAGCTCTTTATTTCCTTAACACCTGCTTCCCAGCTAAATTTCCAGCTCCCATTCTGACAAAAAGTCACCCAAACAAAAACCCCAGTGACATAATTGACAGGTACTATTCAAGGGAAGTGTACTGAAGGAAGTGGAGACGGGGGCATGGTACCATGGCACAAGCAGTTGGCATTGGTAGCTAACAAGGTCATCATGTTGATAAACTCCATTTCTTTCAGCTTGCCCATGGAGGATTTAATAACATGAAGTTTTAGGAGTTTAGCATCTAATTTCTGTGAACTCCGGGGTTGATTGGAACAGTTAAAAATTAACAGTGCAAGTATGTAACTGCATCTCTGTGATACTTGGCAGGTACTGTCTGCTGAGAGTATTTACTGCTTAAGACTCTGACTGTACTTCCTGTCTTTGCCTTAAGAATTACTCAAGGGAAAGGACTCATGCCCGATGGTACCAGGAGATTCACCTGCAAAGGAAAGCAGATTCACCACTTCATGGGGACTAGCACCTTCTCCGAGTATACTGTGGTGGCTGATATCTCGGTAGCCAAGATAGATGCGGCAGCACCTCTCGATAAAGTGTGCCTGCTGGGTTGTGGCATCTCTACTGGCTATGGGGCTGCTGTTAACACTGCTAAGGTAAAGGCTGTGGTTGCCTCTTGCTTTTCTCTGTAACTGTATCTGAGCCAAAGTATACCGATAGCTTAGGGACTACATTAGGACTGTAAACATAATGACCAAATCTCTGTTTCTTCTTCCTCTTCAACTGACTGAGTCTAGCTAAAAATTTCTAACCTCTCTGTAAAGGCCAGATCAGTTTAGAAGAACCTGATGCCCTTTAGAGGAAATCCAGGTAGAAGATTCTGCATCCCTTTTGATACCAGCTAAATATAAATTACTTTCCCAATTCATCTTAATCTTGCTGCAAGTCATTCTGATAGTTTGAAGCTCAGGATGAGACAGAGCTGGTAGGTGAGTGTGCATGAGTCTAGGGCAGGTGATGAGAGTAGAGTCTTAGGAGAAAAATAAAAGGAGAGCTTAGTACTTTTAAGGGCTTTTGGATGAAATTTCTGTATAGCTTCCCTTATCTAAGTGATAAAGTCTCATAGTCACATGTATTTGCTTCCATGTTTCCTTCATTACCTTCATTAGCCTTCTTAACTTGTGTTTCCCACTCAAGTGGAAGGATGAATTTTCTCTGTGTTACTCATGGTTATTTTCTTATTCCTAGGTGGAACCTGGCTCTACGTGTGCTGTCTTTGGTTTAGGAGGAGTTGGGCTGGCAGTTATTATGGGCTGTAAAATAGCGGGAGCATCCCGGATCATTGGCATTGACCTTAACAAGGATAAGTATGCCAAGGCCGAAGACTTTGGAGCTACTGAGTGCATTAGCCCTCGAGACTTCAAGAAGCCCATACAGGAGGTGCTGGTTGAGATGACCGATGGTGGTGTAGACTACTCCTTTGAGTGCATTGGTAATGTTGGAGTCATGGTGAGTGTTTGCTTAACAGTAGTACGTGGAGGGAGGGGACAGCTAGCTGCCACTTGGTTGTTTAGCTAAAGAGCAAAATGAGCTGCTTTCTTGTTACAGAAAGCATGCCATACTAATGTATTTGTTTTAAATAGTTATGGTAACTGCTACGACTAAAAAAGGCCGATTTACATCCAATCCTAATTATGTAATGAAAGCAGATGCTACTTCTTAAGTTGAAAATGGCACTTAAAATTTACAAACTTTTTTCCTTAATGGGAGTTCTTTGAAATTGTGAGTTTTCATATGTTGACAGTTGAAAAACTAATGAAACCCACATAAAATATATTGTACACTGAACAGTAAAATCTCAAGGACCACTCAGTGTTTCCGTAATTCTGCAAATAATTAATTTAACCTTTGGAAATGCAGATGTATTATTGAATGTAAGTCTAGGTTTTCAGAAATTACAACAGCATTCCTAACTGTCAGTAACATGGTCTGCATTGTCTCTGATCACAGTTTATCCCAACTCCCAGTGGGAGTTCAGAGTGACTTGTCTGGAAGACAGGTGGGATATAAAAAGAGCAAAGTGAATCTTCTACAGTATAAGGAGTCTGAACCAATGGAAAATTTAATGTAATTTCCAGTGTATTTATTGTTCCTTAAATACTAATGTGGTAATTCATTAACTGGGAGAAAGGAAGGACAACCTGTGCCAGTCTAGGCAGCGTAAACAATAGCAATAAACCCTCTGTTTTGTCCTATCCGTCTGTGAAGAGGGCTGCCTTGGAAGCCTGCCACAAAGGCTGGGGAGTCAGCGTGATAGTCGGAGTGGCTGCTGCTGGTCAGGAGATCTCTACACGGCCATTCCAGCTAGTAACTGGACGGACATGGAAAGGGACCGCGTTTGGAGGTAACTCTCTTTTGGTATGGGGATCAAAATAATTTACTGTGGGTTAAAGCTGGGAAAAACACACTGCCTTGCTTTTGCTTGTGCAAGAAATGTACTATTGATAGGCTATTCATAAATGCTGTGCTGACTTTTAAGATAAAAGACTTAAAATCCAATATTCCTACATCCAGGCTAGAGATGAAACATTGCTAGGATATCTCACATATTTTGAAGAGAGAATATAACTATATGCTGTTCAGTACTAAAGGAGCGGTATAGAGGGATTGCTTTATCACCAAATGAAGGTTTGGTCCAGTGAAAGGACCTAGCCTTTGGGGAGATGGGAACTCACATGAACATGTCTGTGTTGCTTAATCGCTGAGCAAATTGTGGGGCTAACATGGGCATGTGCTATAAAGAGCTTTAAAATAAAAGCAACAAGTGCTTGATACACGTTTTCTGCTGTCAAACCAAAAACAGGTTGAGACTTTTACAGCTACTGGTAACTTTGGGATTCAGTAATTGCAGAAGTACATGGAAGTATCCAAACTTGATGATGTTATTATACTGCCCTTTTTCCAAGTAATACAAAACTTACTTGGGTTATAAAGATACCTGGAGGGGCTCATAGAGATGCTTTTCTTGTGCATGCTTTTCCTAGGCGAGGGCTGCTGTTATGTTGAATGCTGAAATACCTAGTGAAAGGTTAGTGCACTTACGTGTTTGGATAATGTGTGCTCTTGCCAGGCCTACCTCACTGCCTGCCTAGAGCAAGAGAGACAAATACGTCACTGATCTCAGTTCCTTTTCATATTTAGCACACAAGTGCCCATGTAAGGGTTGTATCTTTTCTTTGTTTTCCAAGGTGGGTGGAAAGGGGAAAAACAAATGCATGCTTTCTGTCTTTCAGGCTGGAAGAGTGTAGACAGTGTACCGAAACTGGTGACTGACTACATGTCCAAAAAGATCAAGGTTGATGAATTTGTGACTCACACCCTGCCTTTTGACAAAATTAATGAGGCTTTTGAGCTGATGCATACAGGAAAGAGGTAACGTTCATAATGGCGAAAGGTGTAAAAGACATTTCTTGATGAGACACTGTCAAAATACAGGTTCCCTGCCCACTGTCATGTTTTAAACAGGGAGGATAAAGGCTGACATATATCATGCACATTCATTCTGAGATAAACAAATAGACTTTCTATGAGCTTCTAGGTATATGCCAAAACGCAGGCAGTGTATAAGGGAAATACAGAAGTATGTAAAGCTGATGAAGGGGACAAGTCAGTCTTAGGCTTCCAACTTTGGTAAAACATTCTTCCTCAGAAAAAGAAATGTAAAGAGACTGAAGGGGAGTTCCCATTAATGTATTTTTATAAGTCATTAAGCTATTAGTCTGTTTTAATTAAATAGTAGATTTCAGTATATTTTCAAGCTATTTAGGGTAGATTTCCAACACAGTCAGTCACTTGGAATGATTTTTTAATACGCTACACTTTAAAATATTTTTTTTCTCTAGTTTGAACTGAGGTGGAACATTCATACGATGGGTTTGTACTTCTTAACATACAGCAGTTTTCTCTCTTTATTAAGAGAAATGGCAGTTTGGACTGGTCATTCTGCAGGCTTAGGCCATAGCTGTATTAAACTTCCTGTGAGGCCCAACCCCACTGCACACTGAAGTGACCCTGCTTGCTGGTAAAAAACCTGCTGGATGTGTGAGAAGCCTTGTTGCCTGTACAGCAGCGTACTTTGCAAGAAGTGATCAACCTGCAAAAGCAGTGCAAAGTAGGGTATTCTTATCAGAGGATCTCTTTGGTGATCCTTGTAAAGGCCTGAACAGATACGGGCATGGGTGTGCTTGAGGGAAAATGAGGACCAGCGTGGTGGGGGATACTGTGGCGGAACTTGTATCTGCAAGTTAAAATCTAATGCAGAAAAGGGGAAAAGATTAGACAGTTTTAGCCTGAGATATGTTAAAGCTTGGCCTGCTGTCCCTTTTCAAGAGCAGGCCTCTTTTACATGAGAGTTTTAATGAGATGCTCTGTAATTTGTTGGAAGTTCAGACTCTTAATGAGATAGCTACCAGTGCCTCTTAGAGTAGAAACCAGCTTATTTAGCAGACTAGGTCACATGCTTTTTAAAACATATTTTGAATAATGGGAACAATCAGCAGGTGAACAAGAGGAAAAAAATAGAGAGATGTTCTGGTAAAAAAGAAAATACTTTCCTGGATACTTGCAGTAATGCAGGCAACTCTGTTTATCCATATTAGGTTTACCTGCAGATGGATAAATAGTTACCAGCATTATCTCAAGAAACGAGCATGGTCTTTGTATTGTATCTCAATCCATGCTGATGTATTGTATATAACTTTATCATCTGCTTTATCTCATACGTATTCCAATTTTGGATGAGCCAGTTCACAGTAATTGCATTTGTACTTTTTACAATTTGAAACACTGCATCTATG